TAAGGCAAATCGGTCCTTTTTGAGGGACCGGAATAAGCACGATTTTTTTTTAAAAAAACCTATGATGACAAAACCTAATTGTGTGTTTTTTGTGTGTGATGTCATGCAACATTATTTCTCGCTGTAGAGACAGATTTTTAAAATGATGCTCTCATCTCTGCAGGAGGATCCAGGACACTTGAGAGCCATTCTCTGCCTCCTACAGCCAAGTGATGACACCAGTGATGATGTTCAGCCTTCCCTTGGCAACAAAACCGATCCAAATGCCAAACCCCGTCGTCCAGCCTGGTGTATGTGTGACTCCTGTGCTCCTTCCTCCCTCCCAGAGGAGGAGTTGTGCTGCAGGCGCACCGAGGGCACCTGCATCACCTCGTCTCCTCTGTTTGGGCAGCTGGTGCTGCGGCGCTCCCTGCTGGAGGCAGTGCTCCTGTACCAGGATCCCCTGTCTCCTTCAGTGAAAAAGCTTCAGACTGCCGCCCTGCGTCACTGTGCCTACAGAGAGTACATCAGCTGGCGGTTTGGGGTCCCACCCAATGACACCCATCCTGCCATCCCTAGCTGCTGCGTGTGGAGAATCAGGAGGGAGTACCCGAGCCCAGATGGACAGTACAGTGGTTTCAGACCTGTAACGATGACTTCCATGCAAGCCTGTGAAAACGGAGAACTATGAAAGGAGTGTTTTCAATTTACAGAGCAGGGAAGCCCTCACTAACTGACCTACTAACAATGTTCATGTACCGTCTGCCTTACAAAGCAAAACAAAAATGCAACAACTTTACTCATTTGTCCGGAAAATTAAACTTAATCAGTTTGTCAGCTTGTGTTCGGTGAAGAAAAACTTCACTAAGTCAATAAATTACTGCATTTTCTCAAATCTGTCAAGTCGTTTGGCTGCTTGGCTGCCATTTTTCTTACATTCACTCTCTTTATGCTGCTTTTTGCCTTTATAGGGCAGGACTAACTCTAATCGGGCTCAGACAAAGATTTTCTCCTGCCAGGAATGTTTTCACATTCATCAAATTATATGGAAAGATGGAGAGTTTTGTTCCAGGACGGGAGAGAAACAACCCTGAGTAGATTTGACATATTTCTCCTATCTCCGCTAAGGTTCACTAACTGCAGTAAGGTGGGGAGCCTGAGTGTGTAATTTCATTTGTACACAGATGTGACTAAAAACAACAGCTGGTTTTTTGGGTTGATAGAAAGTCATCTTGTTATTGTGTTTATGTTTTTCAGTATTGCCATTTCACTCTGTACTCCTGATTTCATTCTGCATGTAAAGAAACGGTCTACTGCACAGAAGGTACATTTTTATATAACTGACCAGTTTAACTTTTATCAAGCTTACAGTTGGTGTTACTAATGAAATGGACACTGTTACTGACAGGTGTGCCCATATAGGCAGTCTGCTGGGCTTCACTAAGCAAATTCATGTCACAAAAATGGAACACTTGACTATTTTTGTGTTGTTGGTGCCTTTTATGTGATTTGGACTGGACTGGTTCTTTTGGACTGGACTTTTCTTCCCTACTGGAGAATTTAAAGTGCTTTAAACAACATGCCTCATTCACACCCGTTCACACAAGCATGCTTTTCTACATCTAGGTACTTGATGCCATACTAGTCAGATAGTGATGGATTTGAACTGGTGATTCTTATTGAATATGTTGAATGGGTAATTATCGTGGCTTGTGGTTAACTGTACTAACAGCATGTCTAAGGGGTCTGTTCTCTAGTTTTGGTGACTGAAAGTGCTTTTTATTATCTTAAACTTGGCATTATTCTGCTACCAAATCTGCTATTTTCAGGACTTTGGGGACTCCAGCTTTTTCACATCTTCTTCACCCTTTTTTAATGTGTATGTGTCTATGTGTGTTTGTTTTAATACATCATCTTGATAATTTAGTTTTGACAGCAACACATCTTATCCTTATCTATCTAAGGTCAGTGAATGCTGTACACGAAACTTTACACATCTGGCACTTCTTCACCAAAGCTGGACTTCCCTTTAAAATGTTACAATTTGGATGCCACTGGTCACTTAAAAGATTAAAAAGCATGGTAGCAGCTATTGAGCCTTCAGGGTGATGTCACAACGCTCACATCCATCTTTAATATATGGTATGACCGTTACAAGATTTTGTACTGGTGCTTTTATGTTGATTAAAATATCTGGCATTTTCTTTTTGATAGTGCCGTCACTTTTGCATGTTTTGCTTGCTATGTCCTTCCAAGCCTTCACATTCTTGGGCCCTGTACATACAGAGTGAATTGTTGTTTATACTAACAGATTGTGACATATTGAACTTCGAAGGTTCAATCTGCTGATTCTTGTCACATCTGAAGGGAGTCAAACTGTCTCTTTCCTGTATTCACGCCTTTAATGAGGTGCTAAGTGAATCAGCTGCTGGCTGTGTATTTGCTGTAAAGTGGTTTCAGTCCTGTCGCCTAATCTCAGCCAACAAATGAGCTTTTTAACCCCCAAACTGTTCAATTTCAGTACCAAGACATTAGTTTAGACTCACTCATCTGATTTTAGTTTTCGCTAAAATCAGAACGAAGCTATTTCTTTAAACCGTTGCTGTTTTATCTTTGATCGCTATCTTTTCCGTCTTCCCTTGTTCAGCCTGTTTATTTGTTTGCAGTAGATGATAAATGGGAAGAGCTGTTTGATTGGTGTAAAAACTGTGTTGAAATCAGCAGTTTCGCAGAACACACACAAGAGTTGGCTTAAAAAAGTTGGAGCAGCTGCTCTGGCTTGGAAAAGAGAAAACACCTCTAACAGTCCAAAATAAGTACATACATCTTCACACAAAGATAAGACGCTTCATTTGTTATACGGTGACACGGTTTCGGGGTGATAGCAGAAGAAGGTGGTCATACATCAGCCGTAATCCCGCTTTATGAGAAATGACACGCCATAATTTTACAGAGCCACATCTGAATGTGTTGATAGTGATGCAAGCACTTTAATGTTTATATTATACATTTCTAATAAAACAGAAGATCTCACTGAACTGCTTTTTTTTCCATGTAAGTTTTTAGTCTATTCTTCTATTTAATTTTCATAATCAGCCAATTAGAAATGGCACAGGCACGGCAACAAGAGTTTCAGATGTAACGGTATATTTTGGTTCTTCATTTAGGTGCTGCCTTTGATAACCAGTGCCTGCAGAACAATGTAAGGAAAGACTGTAAAGTCCTAGAGATGTCACTTATCTGCAGTTCAGGATGTATTATGAAATCGTGGCACAAAAAAATACCAATTGTCTTTAGTTTCAGCTCTTCTGTTGGAGTCCCCAAATCTGTGGCTCAAAGGAACTCAGCATATGACATGCTACAAAACCTTGCTGCACTTTAAAAAAAGTTTTAGGAGGGAAGGTTTATGAAAGGAGAAAAAGAAAGAAACTTGTTTCACCTCCTCACATATTCACCATGGGTCACTGCAGCAGTGTGATCCACAAGATTTGGTAGATTTGTCTTTTTTTTTGCTTAGGCTGCTGCCCCCGCGACCCGGCCCCGGATAAAGCGGATGAAGATGGATGGATGGATGGATGTTTTTTACACCCAACAATGCCCTTCTGGACATAACCCTACCAGGGATAGATCTCTCCTTCTGGGCTCAAACTGGGAAGCTTATTGGGTAAACTAATACACTATGGAGCCATGTTAATGTGAGATTGTAGCTTCAGCAAAGGAGAGAAAGGGGAGAAATGGTTTAAACCAACCATAAAATGTGCTGTCTTATACAGGTTTCAGCAGGTATGTTAATAAACCAAACTAATAAAACTGAGTGTAAAAACAGGACTGCAGTCAAAACTGCAAAAAGCAGTGTAAGCAAAAGGCTGCTGGCAATGCAGGAGAAACCCAGCTGCTCTCCCTGCACCTATTTATATGAATACAGGTGAGTCTCTTCAGCCCTGGGACTCCAAGGAGAGTGCAATTAGGATTTTAGAAACGGAAAAGAACAATTGGATGGTATTTGTTCCTGTGCATTCAAGACAAGCCTTCCTAACATGGACAAATACAGCTGGTATGAACAAATGCTGCCTTGACAGTTTTTTAGAAAGATCCAAACCAGCAGAAAAGTGAAAATTTCCAATGCAAACTATTCTCTGGGGCTTGTCCTCTGAAACAAGTCCAACATATCCAGGAAATATGTTCCCTATCTGGCTTCACCCCTAACATCATCAGTCACGATTACTGGTTGCAAGAAGCTGACGATGAATCAACTCTTTGTTTTTTCATTGACTATGAGCTGACATAGGTGCCCTACTTAAGGACTACATCTCCATGCATCTTATAGAAACGCTAAATATATCTATAAATAAAATGTATTGGAGGGAAAAACTGGAAGGAATAATTTCCCCTAAGAATCTAAACCAAAGGATTTAGATGGTCTCTTGAAATTAAATCTTCTCTTATTGTCTGTGCATTGACATCAGAGGGATCTTCTAGGAATGACGACACTTGAACCACTTTTATCCAGATGATTTATTGGTCAGTGGGTGGTGGTTTTGCACATGTCTCATATCTCTAAGATAACCTGCCTGCTGCTCAGGCTCACTGGCTGTTGTCTCTATAAACTTTGTGCCCAGCATGCACACAGTAAAGTCTGAAACAACAACTACATATGAATCCTCCCTGACAAAATGGCCTAATATCACACCCTGAGATGTGCAACAGTGATGGAAAAATCATTGATTATTCAGCTTGTAATCAAGCAGACATTTTTTTTATCCAGAAAATGAGCAGTGAAGGTCCTTGACAATCTGATAATAAGTTAAGTTGGTATGTGCTAACATTTGGGATCTCAATGCCACGTCTTCATTTCTAATTTCATCAAATTTGTACTAATAGTATTTTTTCAGTAGCATAAAACACCCAGTCTGACTGCAAGTAGCTCAAAAACTAATGGTAAAGGTTATGAATAGGATCAGATCTGCAGCTGGTTGTTGGATGATGGCTTTTGTTGAAGCTCCAGCTTTTGATTTTTCCTCCCATATTTTTTTTGCAAAAATCCACTTTAGTTTAAAAATATAGCTCTGCCGTCATCTTTTACACAACCCTAACTTCCTCTGTCCGATCCAGGACAATAATAGCTGGAGTAATATTAGCTGTTTGTACCGCTGCCATTCTTCAGGTGGCTTATTTGACATATACAAGCACTTTCAGTCCTTCACTCTCCAGAGTCTGGCTCCAGACCTTGACCATTGTTTTTATAAATGGCCTTTTTGAACTGAATAAGGACTCTTTGTTAAACAGGCCCTGGCCTGAAATAGCCTCCATGACTGGTCTCAGTAGCAGATATCCCTTTTTCCTCCCATTACTCATCCATTGACCCCCTACTTTTGTTTGCTCTAGCCTCGGGAGGATGCAGGAGCCAAAGGTGGCTAATCTGTTAGCATGTGTCTTTTTAACTTTATTTTGAAACAGGCCTGGCATGAGGAATCACTCTTTGGTTTCAAGATAATTCGATTAACCTACATTCCTCCTGAAGAAATATATTTTAAGAATGCGCGTTTTCATTACGTCCACATCAGGCAGTGTGTTTACTGACAGCCTGTAGAGCTAAATAGAAATAATTATTTACTGTTTTCTAATTATGCTAATAGTGTTAATATGCAGATTGTGGGTGGAGGCATGTGGAGTGTATGTGGGTGGATTTAAGGCCATTTTGGAAGGATGATCTGATTCACAGTGTGGGCAGCTGGACGGATGAATGGATGTATTTACAAATGGATGGACGATGGACAAAGCACAGTTAACCGTGTAAATGGATGAACATTAAAAGCGTGCATTGTCTCTGCTGGACTGGACACATTTATGGGGGCTTAAAAGACTTCAGATAGACTAGCTTTGTATGATTAACTACATAAACTAATTTCTTTCTTTTTCTTATTGAATCAAACTGTTTTAGCTCCGCCCACACCACTTTTAAGCCCGTTTTCGGCTGTCAATCACAAAGAGAGTGTGCCTGTATTCATGTACCAAACTAAGAGTAAAAAAAGTAGAATTTCAGTGTGATATTCTTATTATATCGATAATACATGGATGGTATCTGCAGTTCTCTTGTTTGTTGTCCATGCTCTTCTTTCATACAGCACGTGATGATCGGTATAATTCAGACATCTAGAAAGAAATTTGTTGATTGAATAAAGTCTCTGCTAAGTCAGCGAATGCTTTCTTTGCAATTGCAATCTAAATCTTCATTTTCTTCTATCTCTACTCACAGTAGTTCCTATATATTTGAACTCACTGACTTGTCATAAGGTGGAATTCTTCAGGCAAATGTTACATACTGGATTATCTGTCTCTATAGAAATTGGAAAGGCTGTATTATCCTTGGGAAAATACAGCAATGATTTCCAGCTGCCCTGTACTGTGATTTTTTTTTAAAAGAGTGTACGCACATCTGGATGTAGTTAATATTATGTCCATCGTAGGTTATACTGAGCCCCTGACAGTCTGTGAGCCATGTTTGGCCCCTAAGAGGTCAGGATATAGAGATGATTGACATGAAAATTAAAAATGAACAAACACGTGTTACATTTATGTTAAAAGATTCATCTTTATTTGTTGTTTTGATACAAAAACATGCATATTAAAAAGCTAGCTCCAGCCTTTCTGTGTGGAGTTTGAATGGATTCCCATTCCTGCCTTGGTTCACCTCAGGTCCTCCAGCTCACAGGAACAGGTCTGAGGCAGATTCAAAGCCTGCAGCGCCTCATCACAGCACCCTGAATTTCAAAGGTTTGATGTTGCTTCAGGTTCGGGTCGTTATTGTAAAGCACTAATGCTGCATTTTATGATTCTTCAGTTATTTGTTTGTTTCTGGCTCATCATCCTTTCTATCCCAGTCTGGCATGTCCTCACAATCCTCTCAGGCTCATAATAAATTAAATTAAACCATTAAATGTAACTCTGCTAATAAAATTAATGGCCAGATAACAAGCTGATTTACTTTCATCAGCAATTTGTCCGCCAGTAAAATCACACGTGGTCAGCTATACAGTACTGTACTCATATTCCAAAGCCAACACACATTAAAACCTTAAAGCATTATATCAGTATCCTGGGGAGAAACATTTGTTAAAAATGTTGTTTTTACTCCATTTATTATGAATGTAAAAACGTACATTTTGGGTGAAACTGGAGATGCCCCTGTGGAGTTTCTGCAAAAAAACGTT